ACGTGGCTTTCTTTTGCTCACCTTTTGGCTTCTTAAAACGACTTATGTGATTAATTGGTTTCCGACCAGCATTTGTTATAACGGACAACGTTGAATTCCTTCAGATTTACTCAATGGTCCTTCTGCAGCAGCTTCACATGGGCCCTCACAGTTCAGCTATTGTTTTACGGTAATAAAATTCTTGTTAGGTAGTCTTATTCTCGAACGCCTGATTCGGAAGTCAGTCCATTATGAACGGGGATTGGAGCAGTGTGCGGTCACCGTCGGTCCGTTACCCAAATCAAAGATTTCGCCTCCGTCCCAGGGTAGTTGCAGTTATTGCAATGTTCATGTTTTTTGTACTTATTTTACTACTAATGCCTGACTCAAAATCAAGAACTGGTAGTTCATATGATATGAGAATTAGACCAGTATTTACTACAGTCGCTGTATATAATGGCAGTTACCCTGGAACATTACCAGTGAAGACAATCGGTGGAAAAAAATACAAAATTGGTCTTGTAGCAGATTTGGACAAGGCCTCAAAAAGTCAGGAAGATTCCAAAACATGGAATAGCTTTTTAAAGACTGGTTATTTAACATTGAATTCTCATCATGATAGCGTGACAATAGAATGGGATCAAAAACAGCTTTTAACATCGCAGTTTTCCCAAGGCGGAAGAGGAATGGAATTATCGGAATTAATTATTTTTAATGGTAAATCATATTCAGTTGACGATAGAACTGGTGTTATATATGAAATTGTTGGTAATCGTGTTGTTACCTGGGCGATTTTACCGGATGGTGATGGAACTGCTTCTAAAGGTGATATAATCAATTTTATTTCATTCATTCATTCAATCATTCAATAAATATCTGAATCTAATTCTCAGCAGTTTGGTTGACAAAAGGTACAATGAGACACAAAACATTTATCAATTAATACTACTACACCCTACAATAGGGAATTGAATTGAATTAATCGTCTGCGAAAACATTTATTGTAGGGGGTAGTAGTATTAATTGATAAATGTTTTGTATCTCACTGTACCGTGTGTCCGCCAAACTGTTGAGGCCGGCCCTTTGTGATCGTCCGCTTTGGATGGATTGATGGATTTATTCGATGTACAGTAAACACCATGCATAACCTCCTGGTTGTGATTGTGCACTCTTTTCCGAAGATTGTGCATTTTTTAACGTGCACATGGGCCAGGACCAACAGCTTAAGCGTCTCATCTGAAAGACGGTGCGTAATCGTTACTTGCATTTCAGCCCTCCAGCAGAAATGCAAAGAGAGCAGCGATGGGAATTGGGTCGGTTACCAAGAGATCTCCCGGTTCAGCGCGCACACAGTGGCTAAAGTTCCACCAGTTTACTGTAGCTGACTGAGCTAAGCAGCTATCAACTTCGCTTGTAACTCTTCTTGAAACACTTACATCAATATGTTTTCAACTTCCAATCAAAAAATGAACCTCCCTCTGAAGGATTTACAATTTTCAGAAAGCAAAGTGTTCCTTTACTTTTTATTACAGTGTTGCAAAGCTGCGGTATCCCAAGTCACTATCAAAATTCAAGATATCTTTATTGTCAATATCATAACATGATGTATTGAAATTATTTTTCCTCTGTGAAGAATTCCAAGAAAAATTTCAACATATAAAAAAGTCATCCAGACATATTAATTCTCCAGATGATCCCAACATAAAATTCTCACATCCCGACCTTAATTATTACAGTAACTCGCAACATATTAACTGTAAAATTCCAACAAATTAACTCTCCCATCCCAACTTACTGTCTCCCATTTTTAATAAATTACAAATGCTATCAATCAAGTTAATACAGTATGTAAAAAAGTGTACAGAGCCCTATATAAATTAGTAAAATATTGTCTGGAGCAAAGAGAATCAATATGATAATTCATTGAGAAACAATTTTATAT